TTGTTTTGTATCATTACCATTCATTTAGTATATTCAATGGTCTGGGTGGATTCGAAAAGTTTAGCAGTCTTTCCGGAAGATTGCTATATATTTTATATATTAGCAGATCATACGGATTCGAATCAGAAAAATGCAATATTTTGGAACGATAATACCAACCACCAAGAGAAATGGCATAAGCTGATTGGACAATATCGACTGGCATCATGTACATCAAGATTAATGAATGGAATGAAATTCAGATCTGAAAATTGAATTAATTTCCCTATGGCCCTGAACTACTATGACATTATATGATGTCATCCAAATAAAACAAATGCATTAATAATTCGTTAAAATGTTTTTCAGATTCATTGACATTCGTTACTATGTCCATTCAGAGATTCGTAAACATCTGAATCTCAGAAAATGACATTTGTCCAAAAAACGAATTGTAAAGAAACAAAATTCACATGTCCAGTAAGCACCATCATATCAGATGTCAATCAGCCACAGCTCAAGGAACTCCTAGCAATCTCTGAAGGAGCTCCAGGGTTCCACAGAATCCTGGTTAACAATAACTGGTCTCTACTCTATAAAAAACAAGCCTGAAAGTGTTACTAAACCCAGAACAGTAAAATCAGTCTGTATATGCAGTAAAGCATGCTTGTTATACTCACTGTGGAACCTAAGGGGTTAATCCTCTGCATTGGGTAAAAATACCATTTAATCCTGTTTTCTCTGCCCCATCTCTTGTTCAAATGTCCACCTGATAAGACAGACTGAACCGGTAGCCACATGCACATGCTCAGTTTAGTTTGTATTGCTAGAGAGTTTTTGTTTTCTTGGGAGAGTGCATGTGATCAGCACAGGGCCAATCACACTGTCCAGACAGAAGGACAGGGGTTTTGCATCCTCCTAGAGCAGAAAGAAAACTCATCCTACAAGCTTTAACCAGTTTTCAGCTGGACACTGATAGAAGTCACAAGACTGCTCTGACTGCTGATGAGAAAAGGTATTTAGCAGTTTATATTTACTAAAATAATTGCACTTCCATGTTCTATGTACTGTGGGAGACCAATTAGAGGGAATGCTGGGTGCTGGGTTAGTAACACTTTAAATTCAAAACAGACATCCACATAAAGCACATCTTCCTATTCCTGTGCAATCTGCTTCCTTGTTGTAAAACCAGACTGAAAAAAGTCCTATATAGGGAGTAATGCCAGAAAATGCTGCCTGGGCCAGTCACATGACTTTATTCATGTATATTTTAGTATGACAAGGGGGAATGGTCATAAACAGACTCAGAAACTTTGAAAGGTAAAAAGAGATTATGACACTCTTGGGGTGAGGGGTGGGAGTGTGCTTCTTGGGTGAACAGGGAAGATGATCAGAATTTGAGTGTGTTTTGGGGCATGCTGTTACATAATGAAGGGGTTCTTGAAATAATGTCCTGTAACCCACTGCAATAACCTATACAAGTATGCTGTAGCCCATTCCAACTAATAATAAAATGTCTATAGCCTGCTATTATTATTATTATCATTATTATTATAATACAAGATCCCTATAGCACCAACAGTTTACAAAATAAAGAGAAACCTCACAATTACAATGCAATTCAAAGCAAAAGGGTATGGAGGGCTCTGCTCATGAGAGCCTAAAATCTAAAGGAAAGGACAAATGATACAAAAGGTGATACCTGTGGGGGGAAGAGTTATTTGAGAAAGCAACATTTAAATCTTAGTTAGAGGTGGGAAAAGCTTCTCCGAAGAGATACATTTTCAGGGATCACCTGAAGGAGGACACAGTAGAACATTTCCAGACAGAGTGCGGTAAGGAGTTCCAGTGGATTAGGGAGGCTCTGGAGAGTTCCTGGAAGTTGAGCATATAAGGAGGTAACAAGGGAGCTAGAGGATTTTGGAAGAGCAAAGAGGTAAGTTTGATTGATATTTTGAGATGAGGTTGCTGGAACTGTAGCCATAGTTATGGATGGCTTTGTAAGTTGTTGTTTATATTTTAAGTTTTATTTGTATGGTAATCGGAAGCAAGTGGAGGAATTGGCAGAGAGGGGTGGTAGACACTAGCAGCAGCATTCATGATGAAGCGAAGGGGGGATAGCTTTTGTAGAAGTATGTAAATAAGGTGGGAGTTGCTTAGTGGAGTAGTAACTTGGTGACATAATTGTTTAAGAAGGGACATATTTTGGAAATTTTACAGAGGTAAAGGTGGCAAGTTTTGGACAGCCACTGGATGTGGGGCTAAAAGGAAGAGAGGGGTGCGGTGCTGGATTCAGAGACAGTGCTGAAGGGGTGACATGGAGCCAGGTTTGAGGGATTTCCATTCACATCCTGTTTTGACTGCGGGACATGAAATTAATTTGAAATCTCCCCATTGGGACACAGATGGCAAAAAAATTCTGACAGGGGTTTTAACACTCCCTTACTCTATTCAAAATGAAAAAAAGTTCTGTAACTCTCAAGGAAACATTAAAAGCCTTAAGAAAAGAATTAAACACCTTCATTTTGCCTTTTCATTTGACTGTGAAATCCTGTGATTTGTACTGAAATTTTGGCAAATGAAAACTTCAATTTCCCTCTGACCTAGTAGCTACCGAGCAGAAAAGTCAATGTTGGCTCATACATATACCAGTTATAGACAGGAAATGGCTCAAATGTCTTTCTAGATAATCTGCACATGCATGGTAACTTTACATACCAATTCACATAAAGACAAATCTGATCTAAATGCTACTTGTTAAAAAGAAAACTTTTCCTTTTAATGCCTTGAGATCTATCCATTAGTCATTGGGTGATATGGCAGAAAACATTATGGCTGTTCTAGGCTTATCTTATCAATGTAAACAGCATGACACCTATCCATCCATACACCTTATCTACAGCAAACAGATCTTTCTCTTACTGAAACTGCACCAATAACCCTTAATCTTTCTAAAACTACTATTTGAATATCTTTGTAGAGTGCAAATAAAGGTAACCCATACTCCTATATTGTTCCCTATAATGGATTGTCTTTATATAAACAGTTTAACTTTGAACACTCTCGCTATGAAGACTAGACATAAGCATAGTTTATTTATGTATATAGCACCAGTATGTCTGCAGTGCCTTACAGAGAACAAATTGGATTTTACACAAAAGGATTGTACAATAAATACCACTTCTATAGGCACATAGTCAGTTTAAGGGCAAAGCCCTTTGGTACCCAAGACGAAGATGCCAATACATGCCCCTACCCCCAGCACATACAATGAAACAACAGTCATTGTCAGTTGGGGCCAGGGTTACAACTTTTAATCCTTGTGAAACTAAATAGCGTGCAGCTCCAGCCTTTATTCATACAGGAGCTACGGTTCATGTATTAGGGCTCCTAATACGCAGAGGAGGACCCAGCTGTCAAACAACCAGAGCCCCAACGGATTGTATGCCTCTATCATAGGCTCCCGTAGGGTACCCTGGGAGCAGCTGAAAACCTGGAAGTTCCTGTAGTATCTAACAAGGGGGCTAATTAGTGCTCCTAGCACATCCCAAAATACAGTGCAGGTAACTTCTCAATAGGTTGCTGCAAATCCTTTATTGTATGACTAAGGAAAGGTGAATACATGCAGGTGAAAATGAAGTCAATGTGGCAAAATGTAGGTTGTTCCTGGTGTTTTTTAAACTTGCAATAGGCTTTAAGCTCATCCTAGGGGTTCTGGCTCCCATCATCTATCCTGGACCTATTCTTTTGCCAAAAAACAGCCCCTCATTAGCCTCATTACTTTATTGTCTGAAAAAAAAAAAAAAACAGACAACGAAAATAAAATTAAAAGAAAATAGTTAAGTTCAGTAAATTCAAATACATGCAAAGAATAGAAAATAATAGTAGTAAAAGTAGTAGTAAAAGTAACATTAATAAAAAACCTAAATTACCCTAAATACACCCTTAAAAATAAACACTGAAAAAAGAAAACTAAAACCCTCTCTATATAAAGAAAAAAAATGTATTTTTTTTTTTATCTCAATCAAATTTGCCTAAACAGTTTAAGGAACAAAACCATGAGATTCTGCCTAGGTAAAATTTTGCCAATGAGAAAATTGGTAATCAATTCTGCTGAAAATAACTCCAATCATGCCTACTGACTAAAGCTGGCCATAGATGGATCCAATCTCAGCTGGTTCAGCAGGGACCGGCTGAGATTTGATCTATCTATGTACAGGCTGATTGTACCCAAGCTGATAGTTGATCCATCAAACAACTTGAATACAACCAGACTGCCATATTTTCAGCATTCAAATACTGCCCATGCCTATAGTAATTATTGTATTCTGCCAGCTGGGAAAGCTCGTCATGCCCCCCCTCCCTTTCCACTGGTAGAATGCAATAGCGCTGCAGGAGGCATTCCCCCATCAACACTGACTGTGCTGATGGGGAAATCGAGTGATTTTCTTTACTTCCATCCATGGTGAAAGAAAAGAAAAGTGATTCATCTATGGCTTGCCTAAGGTGTTTCTATCACAAAATTGTCTGGCTAAAATGACAAGTATTTTGCTAGATTTTCACTAATGTAAGCATCTAATTTCCTTTTTTAAAATTGTGTATTTGCTTCAAGAGTTTATTTTCTCTGTAAGTTGATGTTCCCATCTAACAAATATATTAGGCCCCTTTGGCATTTTAGTGAACTGGTAAAAAGTGGTCCATTGATTCACTTACCGTTTCACTAAATGCAGAGTGACATTGGGGCCCTCTTTACAGAAATTTGCACCCAAAGACACCAGGGGCTTCCTCCTCTTGGGAAATCTCTGATCAACGAACAGGATCCAATAGGGTTCCTGCATTAACTGTCACAGGGATTAGGTGAAATAAGCCAGCACTAACATCAGTAGCCTACAAAGCATGTAATAGATTGCTTTATTACTTGGTGTCCTGATTTTAAAAAAAAGTTTAATCTTTCCTTATAAGCAGTGGCATTGCTAGGGTTGGGTGCGGTAAAGCATGGTGCAGGGGTGGACTGACAACTCATGGGGCCCCCGGGCAATAGGGGATCATGGGGCACCTGTGTCCTTGTCCAAATTCGAAAAAGTCTATGAAAAAGGTACCAGGGGCATCTCATGGGGCCCCCTACTGTCCCTGGGCCCTCGGGCAGTGCCCGAGTTTCCAAATGGTCATCCCGCCCCTGACATGGTGTCGCTAGTCCTTAATACACTTGGGCTTGGCACTTAATAACTTTCCAGAGGCGCAGGTTAAGGTAGATGGGACTCTCTCAACCATTCCCTATTAAAAAGTGCCCCTTATCCCCTCTCATATTTACCCTTACTCCTGAACCCCCACTCAGTAGAATTAGCCTGAACCTGAATATAAAGGGGGTTCGTATTGGCACAGTGGAGCATAAGCTCTCTGCCTGTGTGGATAATGTATTGTTTTTTGTGACTGACTCCTTGCTATCCCTCCCCAACAGCATGGCTGAAATGTATGGGTTTCACAAACTCTCTAATTTCAAAATAAACTATAGAAAATCTGGCAAATTGCCGCTTTCCATCCCTGATGGTATGCAAATATAGTTGCAAGCCTCATTATGTTTCCCTTGGTGCCAGAACTCTTAAAATTATTTAGGTATCTACCCTCCAAATCACTGTTCCCTTCCTGTAATTATGCCCTATTGCTCAACACAATACGAATAAACCTTACCAAATGAGATCGGGCCTCATTCTCTTGGACGGGCAGTGTAAATATACTGAAAATGAGTATCCTGCCTAGAATCCTCTTATAATTACAAATGGTGCCTATCTTTTTGCCCAGATCTTTCTTTTCAAGCCTCAATAGCCTTTTCATACACTTTATTTGGAATAAATTCTGCCCTCAACTGTCATTTTATATTCTGAAGCACCATAAACGAATGGGTGGTTTGGTCATCCCAGCCATTTATCTTTATTATGAAGCCATGGCATTCCAGAGGATATTAGATTGGCATCATAATGTTAAAGATTAACTCTGGGTCCCTCTGGAGAATTTTTTGGGCAGCCGTAATTTATCTCATGTCCCAGGGCCAACCCGCTCCTTCAGGGGGCTTGATGATTCCACCTCTCCCACCACCACCCATGCATTACATTTATGGGATTTATGGTAAAATGATGGCCGAGTGGGCCTCTTGTACCTCTGGGAGAGCATTTTATGACGTCGTTCTGGTCATGCCCCTCGAGTTCACCCCCCCTCCCCCGGCAGTGCGCAGACCAATTGTCTCCCTGTGTAGGTAAATAGCCAATGAAATTGTCTGTTTACCATGTGATCGGCTGTATCCTATCACATCCCATCACAAATGTAAACAAACAGCGGTAACTCGTTCTGAGTGTTATATTGAAGATTTTTGACCCCTGTGGGTCGCAGCCTGGAGGTGAGCGTGCATGCTAGCTGGTGGTGGATTACTCATGTGCATTGGTCACCGGATGTATCACTTGTTTTGAAGAACACAGATTTATTAGAACTGTGCACAGCAGCATTGCATTTTTCACACTGTTTTCACATGGTTTATGCACATGTTATGTGATTTATTATCCTTCATCATTTATTGTTTACTCATTGGGTCACGATTAGTTATGTGATTTGTTTATTTTTTTGTCCACCTAAAATTTATTGCTCACCTATTGTATCACCAGTTCATTTTATGTCCATTTTCTATTCATTTGCACTTTTCTTTGTCACTTATTATTATAATATTATATTCATTTATTATTTATAGGGTTTATTTTTCCCTAGTGTTTTTGGGTAGCACAGCATCCATTTTCTCATTCATTTTTTTTGTCACTATTGGTTATATAGGCAGGTGTTAGCAGCCACCCAGTTTTTTTTTAGGCTATTAGCAGCGCAGGAGGAATTCTTGTTTTGTAACTTGCTGTTACCGCTTCTCTTCCTCACACATGGATCCTGTGTGAGAATCTGTGCTTCCCCTGATTTGAACCTGGAGTACATTTCTCCTTCTTTAGGTCGTGGGAAGTGGATGGTAGGTAGGTAGGGTTTGTGCAGGAACAAGGTTTAAATTTGCTGGGCATGTTATGAGATCAGTATGGACACTTCCCAATATTCCCAATGGATGCCTGGTGATATAGACAGCTTCATAATTTTATTCATAGCTTGTTCCCCAAAATTTGCTCCCTTTCTACCTTGACACAGTTTGAGAAACTTTGCATTGGAAATACCCAAGTCCCTCATTCCCTTTCGGTAATGTACAAAATGCTCAGTCTGAGGAACCCGCTGGGAAACCTTTGTATATATGGGAAGGGGAGAGAGCCTTGCAGTATCACTTTTCGGAAACTCAGCCTGACCACCTGTATCGCTTAACCCATACCAGCTTGGTTCACACACAAAGATGCAAGACAATGGCTTTAAATTGCTCACTCGCTAGTATCGCGTCCCCTTTAAACTCGCTAAGTTTTACCCCTCTATGTCTTATGGTGGAGAGATTGCAGCCATCATGGTACCTTACTCCATATTTGGTGGGAGTGCCTTAAGCTACATTCCTTTGGCAGAGCATTAGAGCTCAAATTAAGCTTTTCCTTGACATTGATATTCCTGACTCCCCATGCAGTTTCTGCTTCATGTGTGCCCTGCATTCCTCTTATTCATTATAGGAAAAATATTTTACCACATCTATTGAACGCAGCAAGGCATTTAATCCCTATGCATTGGAAAAAGCTTCAGGTTCCTGATCGAGCCGAGTGGATTAAGCTGGTGAATAATGTGATGGAGGCGGAGGGATAGATGGCTACATGCAAGGATCGTTACAAGTTTTACTCCATCTGGGCCACATGGATCCATTACACTTCCGGGGCTTCAGGAACCTTGCAACATCCCTCACCAGGGTCTTCCCGACCTTAAATGGTGAGGGTGTGGTGACCTCCCATAGCCTTTGCTCCCAACCCAGGCCTTCTTCTTATGTACTTGCATTTCTATGGTATCTGAACTCATGTCTATTTAAGTCTATGTCTTGGTCAGATCTGCTGGTCAACCTTTCATGCAGAATTCTTACACTAACATAGCAACTGAGAATGTTTTGTCTTTTTCCTTTTCTTTTCCATTATTGATGTTTGTTCCTTTTGTACTATTTCTATTTTACTGCTCACGGCTCTCTGGTGCCTGTTGCAGTATATGCAACATAATGAGTGTTTTCTGCCTTGTATCATGGTCAGACAACCTATCTAACCAGCCTTGGTGGGGATCTCCCACATAGGTCAGATAACGATGCTCTGAGCAGGTGCCATATGCCCATTTTGGAGAGTAAGTCAGGTGGCCCCTGCACAGAAGTTGGGGGACCCAGGTTTCCCCAATCCTCCTCAGACTTACACCTCTATTAGGGTCCCATCTAGCCCCTGTAGAATTCTATGTTATCTTTTGTAGACGTTTTCACCCTGATGCCTATATTTAGCTTATTGGCTGCCATAAGCCATGTTACTCTGTTACACGACTTTTAGGTCTGGTACTCTTTTCCTTTTTTTGTATCTGAAAACCTTTATCTGAAAATAAAGACTACTTAAATAGAAACACGGTGTCACCAGTGGCATAGCATGAATTATCAACACCCAGGGCAAGGCAAGTAATTGATGCGGCAGGGAGAAAGAGAGGGCAGGGGGAGAGAGGGAGGGCAGAGAGAGAGAGGGCGGGGAGGGAGAGGATGGGCAGAGAGAGGGGGGAGCAGGGACAGAGAGATGGGGCAAGGAAGGAGAGAGCAGGGAGGGAGAGAGAGAGAGAGAGAGAGGGAGGGCAGAGAGAGAGAGAGAGAGTAAGGGCAGGCAGGGAGAGAGAGGGCAGGGAGAGAGAGAGAGTGCAGGGGGGAGAGAGAGAGGGAGGCCAGGGAGAGAGAGGTCAGGGAGGGCAGAGAAAGTGAGAGAAAGGGAGAGGAGGGGGAGGAAAAGAGAGGGGGGGGGCAGTGAGAGAGAGAGAGGGCAGGCAGGAGAGAGGGGGCTGAGAGAGAGAAAGAGGGCAGGAAGGGACACAGAGGGCAGGAGAGATAGAGGGCATGGAGGGAGAGAGAGGACAGAGAGAGAGGGCAGGGAGGGAGAGAGAGGGCAGGGAGGGACAGAGAGGGCAGGGAGAAAGAGAGTTAGAGGGCAGGAAGGGAGAAAGAGGGCAGGGAGGAAGAGAGAGGTCAGGGTCTTGTCACAGTAACAGTACTCACTCACTTGGATGGTCCCCGGGGGCTCACTGGCTCAGTCAGCAGCTTCTGTTTCAATGTGGAAGTTGGCTAATTGTATAAATTTCCCACCCCCACATCCCCTTCACTGATGTGGAACAGAGGCTGCATGGAGTGTGGACACAGGGAGAGAGGGGTGGGATGGGGCAGAGTAGATTCAGCCTCTCCCATTTGTGTGGAAGGAAGGGGTGGAGTTGTGTTTGTTGGGCTCTGTTAGTATGTAGCAAAGACACACAAGGCATGCTGGAGGCCAATGAAGCAGTGTGGGGATCCCCTCTGTTCAGTACAACTGCACCTCCTGAGCCAGCTGTCAACTGGACATTGAGACCAGGGAGTGATCAGGACGGAGCTCTCATCAGAGGAGGTGGAGGCGAGGAGCAGGTGGATGGAGCTACAGATTTTCCAGGGGCTCAGGGTCAGGGAGAGGGATGGGAACTCATTTCTGCTCCCCTACAAATGTTGCATCCAGGGCGACCATGCCAGTTGCGCCCCCACGCTATGCCACTGAGTGTCACTCGCCCCCCAATAATTTTATAATTGCATTTTTATAATTGCTTACAACACCCCCCCCCACTATAAATACCTCACACATCTTTCTCTGTTACATATAATGTCAGTGCAATACCCCCCTCCATTAAATTTACCCTGCAACCTCCCCTCCCCCATTATAAATACCCTAAACCCCCTCCCCAATTATAACTACACCACATTACATGAAATTACTTTGCCCCCCCCCCCCACACACTAATGATTATAACTACCCCACAATCCCCCCCATTATAATTACCCCAGAGTATTTCCCCCATTGTGATTGCATACACCCCATTATAAATACTCCACTCCACTACAGTAATTACCAAACGGTACTTCCCCCTACCCTGTCAAATTAAAACGACCCTGTAATTCCTCCCCCACCCCATTATAATTTTACCCCACATTCCCCCGGCCTGTTATAATTGCCCCACAACACCCTCCCATTATAACACCTCACATATCCTCCTCCGTTACATATAATTTTACTGCAGCCCCTCCCCCCTTCAATTATATTATCCTTCCCCCCACAATTATAATTCCCCTGCCGTCCCCTTCAATTTTAATTCCCCTCAACCCCCACAATCTCACCTCTGACCTGGCCACCATCAATCTGTCCAGATCCGGTTAGTAAACAACTGTCCATTACCAGGACAACCGGGGTGCGCAGGCCGCATGATGACATCCAGGAGGAGGAACGAGCAGGACTTGTCTTATGATGGAAGAGGGCATGCGGGGCGGACAGAGAACTGACAGAGAACTGACCATTCATGTCCTCCCTCTTCAGAGGTCACCTCATTCCAGTCATAGCCCATAATATACCTACTTGATGTATCACACCTACACCCGCATAGCGTCTCCACTGCTTATAAGGATGCTGATGTCTCATAAACAGAAAAAAAACCCTGTTTAGTCCAGTTATGAATCTAGTAAAAAAAAAATCTTTATATATTAGTCTCTTATAAACAGGACTATTACTATAATTATTGCTTTTCCTAATGGTGTTGTGAACATGCTTACAGGAGGAGATAGTCATGGTTGAGCTCTTGGGTTTGCTGCTATTCCTTATCCAATCAGGAAGGGGAGAATCCTAGACCATTCAGTATAGTGTAACTGAAATGTCATTTACAGAGAGGTCCAGTACCCAACTGTGCTGTCTGGAAGGGGAATCTGGAACACTAGACTTGCTACACAAAGAGATACCTTATTTTTTGCTCCATAAGACGCACCTGACCATAAGACGCACCTAGGGTTTAGAGGAAGAAAACAAGAAAAAAAATATTCTGAACCAATGGACTGCAGACATAGTACAGGAAATGACCAGAGACTGCAGACATAGTACAGGAGATGACCAGAGACTGCGGACATACTACAGGAGATGACCAGAGACTGCAGACATAGTACAGAAGATGACCAGAGACTGCAGACATAGTACAGGAGATGAACAGAGACTGCGGATATAGTACAGGAGATGACCAGAGACTGCAGACATAGTACAGAAGATGACCAGAGACTGCGGACATAGTACAGTAGATGACCAGAGATTGCAGATATAGTACAGGAGGTGACCAGAGACTGCAGACCTTTGGGCAGTGGAAAGGGGGGAGCGGGTACCCGAATTTGACAGGTACCTGCTCCCATTTCCACGGAGTTGTCCTCCATCCCCATCTTCAGGTCCCAGAAGACTGCCGGACCATTCACAAAGCACAGCTCTTCTTGTGCATGCGCAGTGGGCACATGACTGTGAAGCTGCAAGCTGCCACAGCCGGGTGCCCACATTAAAGATGCCTGTGCCAGGGAGAGAAGACAGTGGGGACACCGCTGGACCGAGGAACAGGTAGGACCGAGGAGCAGGTTCTGCTGCACAGAAGAGCCGAGTGGCCGGCCCAGTATTCTAACAAGGCGGTGGCGGGAATACCAGGCCGGCCGCTCCATATTCGCTCCATAAGACGCACAGACATTTTCCCCCACTTTTTGGGGGGAAAATAGTGCATTTTATGGAGCGAAAAATACGGTAAATAATTTGTCAACAAAAACAATTCCCATATTTGTATTTGAAATGTGTATTTAGCTGCTTGCCTGTTGGAGTTAAGCTTCAAAAATGTCCATGCAATTTATCCTTTATTATTCAGATCCTAATTTGTGCAACTGTCCTTAAAATAAACAGTTTTTGAAGCAGACAATTTCTTCCATTTGTCAGTTTTCCTTGAACAGAATTAGTGAGAAACAGTTCTCGGTATCCAATGCCAGATTCGTAACTCTTAATGAAAAGCAGTTTTCATGTTTCACAAAGAAAAAAAAGTGCTTATCATTAAAGAACATGTCTTTAAATTACACTGGCACAAAAGACTGTCGTGTGTTTCCAATTGCCATCATTTCACAATATGAAGCCCCTAGTACGTCAGTCTAATCATGCCAGCCAATGAAAAAAAAAAAAAAGAACATAAATTCTGCATATGTGAGATAAAATCACATCAACTTTAAATTTGAAATGGAGCAAAGGAGCATTTGATGAATATTGAACAAGACGGCAAATATGGAGAATGATATTAATATTATTCATGTGGATGGCATATGTGAAAAATACACTTCTCTAAATGAGAATTGGATGAGTCTGAAAAGGAAAACAAGGCTAGAACATTGGTCCAAAAATGTGACAAATAACTGATACTAGGTCATCTAGGTTTCTATGTACATTGGCCTACATCAAGCCTTTCTTGAGTTTTCTGGTCCAACAACAAAGTGGTCGTCATGCCCAGAGCACATGCAGCAGATATAAAGGAGAGCATAGTGTATTTTTAATGAGCTATAATCAATGTCCCCCCTCCATCTTCATCCTTCCCTTTACCCCCCACCACATTTTATTATTATTAATATTTTTTATTAAACATACCTTTTTTCTGAGTGCCTTCTGTCAGGTGACCTTCTCTTCTTCTACCAGCAGTGAATGGTCCTTACTTCTGTGCAGAATATTGCTTACATAATGAAGAGGGATTGTTGTTTAGCTGAGCATTTGATTGGTTTGATTTGATTGATGACATAGTGTGAAGGTGTCATGATGGCTTGAGCCATCTGTCATCTGTGCAAGGAGCTGAGTCTCCACCTCCTCATTAACACTGGGAGGCCTATAACAAACTCCAATGATTACCTTTGTAGTACGCACCCCCATGTGAAGTTCCACCCATAATACTTCAGCCTCATCACACTCTCCATCAACTAGGTTTTCTTTCACACTCGCTCTGAGATCACTTGTCACATAGAGATAGACACCACCACCTTTCCTATTTACCCTGTCTCTGTGAAAGAGAACATAGCCAGAAATATTAATGTCCCAGTCTTGTGAAGAATGAAGCCAAGATTCAGCAATACCAATTAAATCATAGTTCTCTTCATGCACCAAAAATTCCAACTCACTTATTTTGCTTGACAGACTTCTGGCATTGGTGAACAAACACTTTAATTCATTTTTTTTAACTGGATATGGTCCTGAAAGCAATTTTTAATAACATTTTTTATTATTTTGCAAATATACAGGGTACAATATTCATATAAAATAGAATATCTGGCATTACTGAATCAAGGGTTTATGCACACATGAACATAGTCAGAGATCTTGGACATAATAAATGTGATGTTCTTCAGTATGTTACAAGCACACTGTATATTTAAATGTTATAGGCGTATCACAACATGTAAAATACAAGAGGCATGGTGGAAAAAACAGTTTATATTTATATACAGTTTCAGTAAGTTTTTCTGTGTCTTTTCACAGTGTTACATATTTGGGCATATATTTTATTGTAAAGGTATATAAGGCATGATATTGTAGCCAGGTGATGGACTACAGAAACATGCAGAAGGATACATTTCCCTCTTTACAAACAGTTTAGTTTAATTTTCTATGGAGATACTGCTGCACTATTTTCTGGTTTGCAGGGGGTGAGTTAAAGCCAAGCAAGCCCATAAATTTCTATGCAGAGCACTGAGAATCCTGGGAGTTGTAGTTTGGGACAGCAGCTGCATAATGGGACCCATAGACTCTTTGGAGTACAAACCTCATAGACATTATTCAGTAGGAGGAGTGGAGTAGGGATATTTATTAAACTGCCCAGGGAAAGTTCTTCTTCTTGATGCCAAGGATTTAGAGAGAGCATTTCTGTCTGAGGATTCACATGCCAGTGGAGATATGAACCTAAGACTGGTATTAAGGACACCTGGGGGCAGCACACCACCGATCCACATCACAGCTCCTGCTGCAAGGAGACTTGAGCCTCCACTCACCCTCTGCTTACCAAAACTGATCTTGGGAGACTCTCAGGGATAGACTGAGGGGGGCCCCCTTCTACATTGAGCACCCACAGCAGCATCCTGGGAACTGGTGAGAGTGGTGAGAGAGCTATCCACTCATTATTGGCATTACTATTAGAGACTGACACCAGGACACCAAGTGCACCCAGCCCTAAACCACTTTTCTACCAGACTGTCACTGCATTTGACCTGCGTCTACACTGCACCTGTTCCACACCTATACCACACCTTGACTGCATCTTTGCCACACTTTTACTGCAACTTTACCACAACTTTATTGCGTGCTGGTTTACTAAAACTATCGTTAAGTGAACCACTGCTTCCTAAAGGGCCCCAACGATAGCCGACAACAGAACAATATCAAGGACTGCTCCTCCAGCAACACCATTATGTAAGTCCCTTTTGATCCTTTCTCCCCTTTCTTTAATTTTTACAGTTATTGACCATTCAGTCGGTTTATTCCTAACATTAAAAATAATAATAAACAGAAAGCGCCAATCATCAAAATAATTCTATAAAAAGCTGCAAACTTCTAACCCAAAAATATTGGTGAAAAAATAAAAAACAACAAAATCAGAATGCGCTTATATCATATATCGTGCAAAACTGTGCAAAAATTTATAAATATATATTGTAAAAAAGAAACCCCAGTGAATCTCAACATAAATTGTTCATATACAAAAGTCCAAAATCCCAAATTATTTCTTCTTAAATCAAATAAATCCACCGTGCTCAATCCACCACCAGATGAATGGAATAAACTCACCAGAGCTAGATGCTGATCAAATTATAAATCAGCACAAGCGTATTTGCTCTGGGAGCGATGAGAAAATCCAAGGAAACACCCTCCTGTAATTAGAAATCCAGGCACCAGGAGCAATACTCCGCAACCACTCTACGATATGGCCAGGACTTTTTATACAGCGGTCATCCTCCAAACACATGATAGTATCACTCCAAAATAAAGAAAAGGCATGATGGTGCAGTACGTAAAAACTATGTATGTTTATTTAAAATTCATATTACTCACAAAGCAAGTGTCCACCTGACACTGGTATAACAAGCGATAGAGATGCACAAAAGCATGTAACGAATGAACGAACTCCGTTCACTGCGGACACCTCGCCGACAGTTGCCGGGAACGTCCTGACGTCATCCAATAGGCTCCGCCCTACGCGTTTCGTCACACTGACGTCCTCACGGAGCGGCATGGATTCAGACGTCAATTCCATTCATATATACCGCTCGCACTCTGCACAGCGGTATTTCTTTATCCAATCACAGCGGCGCTATAATGATATACCGCCGCTCAATTGGCAAAGATACAATTATATCACAAATCCTACAATCACATATATCCGATATTTGTTTTAACATATAAACTACATATTAAAAATATATATTAAAAAGGAATGAACTACATTTTATATCAAATCATTATCTGAAAATGACTAATCACTTAATCATGAGCTTTCTAAAGGGGAACTCTATACCACAAAAATAAAATCCATCACATACCAATACATACAATATTCCATTCTTAATATATTGTTGTATACATTTTCTAATAAGCGAACTCTCCACACAATTCCACAAGAGATATATATGTACACATATATTTAAATACTTAGATCATTATTAATCCTTAAGTTGAATCCCCTCACTCCAAAGGACCCAGCCTCAAAACCTTGAAAAAAAAGAAACCCCACTCATCATCTCTAATCCAATTAAATCAGGATACATATATATCTCTCTTTTTCTCCTTTAACAAAAACTCTCCACTATATATTTCTAATTTTACCAAAGAATATGTTTAAAAATTCGTCAAAAAACAATTCAGATCAATATCTATATTTAAACCATTCGGTTTCAATACATCTAATTCGTATATCCAAAACGTCTCCCTTTTGGATATTTCATTGATCATATCTATCTATTCCTCTCCAGTGTTTTTTTACGCTTTCTATTCCATAAAAGGTTGCTAGACTTGGATCACTGTTATGTTTTAATTTAAAGTGTTTTGACACACTATGTTTATCGTACCCCTTTCTTATGTTGTTAAGATGTTCTCCAATTCTTGTTTTTAATAGTCTCCCCGTCCTCCCCACATACTGTAAGTGACATGGGCACTCTAAAACATAAATTACATGGGATGAATTACATGAAATTAATGAATTTATCTTATATTCTTTTCCCGTGTGTGTTGATGTAAAATTCTTTCTTTTTTTCTTAGTATCTTTTTTTATTGTTTTGCATGCCTTACACTTATTACAGTTAAAGAAACCCTGTATTTCAGGAAAGAACTGTTTTTTCATCGGTGGGTCCAAAACATTGTGAACCAATTTCATCTTCAATGACTTATTTTTCCTATATATAAATTTAGGTTTTTTAGGAATAATCCCTTTTAATATCTCATCTTTAAGCAGTATTGGCCAGTATTTTTTAAAAATTTTCTCCACCTGTCTATATTGTTTGTTGAAATTGGTAATAAAGGCAATCTCCTGTTTC